TCAGCAGGTGGGCAGTCTTATTCTGCCCACCGTGGGCGGGAGAACATTTCCAAACATTCATTTTAAACGTTTAACGAAATTAGTGATGTGGTTAATGTAATGCATGTGACGTCCTGTCACGTCGTTAATAGATTGTCATGTAAGAAAACATTTTCATTGCTTACTAAATTTTGGAAAACATTTTCGATTGGTCATTAAATTTTGAAAAATGTTTCGTTGAAAATGTTTTCGGTTCCTCACTAAATTTTGAGGTGGTCAAATATTGACCATTAAATTTATAAAAATAACTTCAACTTGTTGTTCATCAAAAAAATGTACCGCAAGCGTACGGGTCGCGTAAAAATAATAAAATAGGCAAACGGGTCCTGGTTGTCGATACCACGAAAAAATGAATACTCAACTACACAATATGTAAATTTAATTTTAACATATTTTTTTGTAGAATTTTAAGCTAGTTTCATCATTTAATAATTTCAAATTTATTGTGTATTTCGTTGTTAAAATTAAATTAAAATAAAATTTGAATTTTGCAGTGAAACACACGATATGTTTAATTAAATAGATTGTGCAATGAAACAAACCAAAAATTTAATTAAAATTTGATTTATTTTTTTTTTAATAAAAAACACGCAATCGATTTGGTCTTTTGTCCAATCCCAATGGAAGATTCGAGATCCTAATGTCGAAAGGATAAATGATTTGGAACCCTGCTAAATTTTGATGTTATGACGGCCAATAAGTTTTAAGTTTCTATTATATTATACAAGTGGCTAACTTGAACATCTCCAATCTATGATTCTTTAATTCCAAGATGCTCTCTACTTTAGAGAGTCATACTTGGACATAAGCTCCAATAGACGGGTTTGGCTCTCTACTTTATTTTATAAGTTACAAATTTCAATAATTTACTTCTTAAGTTATTAAATAATTAATCATTGACATATAAAAAATATGTTACTTATAATATGAGGAGAAATCAATAAATATTTATTAGAAAAGAGAAATGAAATGTCAAAATAAAAAGTATTGTTGGAGTGCACAAAAAAAAATTTTAATTCTCTAAATTTAAACACGTTCTATATTATACACGAGATGTTATTTATGAATAGAATGGTTTCATTTAATGAAATGAAAATTTCGACTATTCATTTATTGGATTATTATCTTCGAATTTATTGGCCATTGACATCTCAAAAAATATATGTTAATTAAAAAACTGAAAAAATGATAAATATAATTTGAAAAAGTAAAATAAAGTGCTTGTTTGAGTGTATCGAAAATCTTATTGTCTAAATTTAAAAGTATTCTCTATTGTGTATGATATGTTCTTTAAAAA